AAAAAGAAAAAACTCTAAAAAAAAAAAAAAAAAAAAGGTGGGCGATGGAGTAGAAGCTATAGGTGAGGGCTGTGAGTCCTAGATAACTGTTGGGGCCACCAAGGGCAGCCAGCCTGGAGGCCTATTTAGGAGTTTTATGTTAAATTAGCAAGTAGTATCTAGCTTTTAGTTTTTTTGCACTTTATTGTAGCATATGATGAAAAAAGAAAGGTGGAAAAGTAAAAATGTGTGTAAATTTCAGTTAAGTCATAGGATTTCTTGACCAGTTACTTTTCTCACTTGAGCAGAATATGGATTCAGAGTAGCTGAGAATACGGTATGTTGGAGGAAAAGAAACCCTGACATATTGAGCAGAATATGGATTCAGAGTAGCTGAGAGGTATGTTGGAGGAAAAGAAACCCTGACATGTATGTCCTTTGTAGGTTGTTAGATGTCCTAGCTGCAAGGAAGGATCCACACGGATTATCTGGAGACGTCCTGATCAATGGAGCACCTCGCCCTTCCAATTTTAAATGTAACTCAGGTTACGTGGTACAGGTGAGTATTCGTAGGCTCCTCTGGGTCGGATAGGGACGCGCCTGACAGCCCAGTGTGTTTCCTTGTTCTCTTTCTCTTTTCTTACTGCCAGAGGGTGCATTGTCTCACAGAGAGAGAGCAAGAAAGAGCGAAAGGGTATGATCACCCTGCGACTCTCCCTCCTTTATTTCTCCCTTTGTCGGGTTCCGGCCTAACCTGGCTCACAACCCAGTGTGTTTCCCAGGCCTCCAGGGTTGGGAATCAAACCATGGTAAGGCCTGTGGAATCCAGTGCTCCCAACTGCTGTGCTTAAGGGGAACTGACTTTTTATTTTATTTTATTTTTTGCTATAAGGTACATGCGTTCACGAGAGAGAGAGAGAGACTGAGAGAGAGAAGTGCACCTTCCAGCAGATGGCCACATTGTAGTCCCTTTTCCTCCGTTCTTTTGGGATTTGGGGCATGCACACACATGCACCTGGTTTGTTTTCCAAGCTCCTACCGGGTCTAGGACTGGAACCAGGTAGTTGGCCATGTAGGGATCCAGCCACCTTAACCACCATGACACCAGCTGACTCAAGGGAACCAACATTCTTTTAACCAGCTTTTCATAATCTCCCACGAGGCCCAGGGTGCTGTTAAATGGAAGGGCAGGGAAGATCTGGACTATGACCCTTGTAAAGGCAATGATGCCAATCTCAGTTGTTCTGTCATCTCGAAGATTCCTTTGATGTCCTTTTTACCCGCCCTTTGCCTTTCTTCTCCCAATACCTTACCAGATGTTTGGCAAATCTTTATAAAAAGCAGTCTAGGAATGTTTGCTGCAGTCATGATTACAGAACTGTGCTCTATTTTAGTGTGAAGATGGGGGGTGGAGATGATCCTATCAGGCTTTGCCGCCTTCTTCTGCATAAGGGAGTGTTTGCAACTTGTAGAGCTGATAGTTTATCACTAGCTGAAACTCTACCTGAGGCATGTTATTTTTGTGGATGAAGTTGCACATACCAAAGAGCGATGATCTTGGAAAAGAATCTCGGTGTCTCACTGCAATGTCATTCTGCCTTAAGGATGATGTCGTCATGGGAACGCTGACGGTGAGAGAAAATTTACAGTTCTCCGCAGCTCTTCGGCTTCCAACGACTATGACCAATCGTGAAAAAAATGAGCGGATCAACAAGGTCATTCAAGAGTTGGGTCTGGATAAAGTGGCAGATTCTAAGGTAAAACATACGGCATCCTAGCCGGCCAGTAGAACCTCCTCTGTAAGGGTAATGCCATTCTTACTCGAAGTTTCCTAGGCTTGTGGCCTAACGTGGCAACTTTCTGTACCAGTGAGAAATGGGACAAGTCACATCATAGGAAGGTGGACATTAACTTGGAAAACCTAATAGGACAAAATGTGGTGGTGTGTTGGTGTGGTCTCGTGTGTGAGCGTTCATCATGTGGCCTTTTCCCTGTGCCGTCCCCACCCCACCACATATAAGTGGTGTCTCATTCAATGTCATTGCACCGATTTTCCTTCTTCTGTTTTTTCTCTTCCCCCTCTCAGCTGTTCTTCTTCTCCCTCGGCTTCTCCAGGGAATTTGTTCCATTGCTTGCTTTTTTTTTTTTTTTAATTTATTTATTTTACTGATTTTGATTTGAGGAGAGAGAGCGAGAGAGTAAGAGAGAGGGAAAGTGAGAAAGCAAGCTGCCAGGTCCAAAGACGAACCACGGTTGCCCTAAACCATCATACCACCTGCTGGCCCCTGTTCCATCGCTTTTGGGGTCTGTTTCTGCAATCCAAAGATTCTTGCCCTGTATGCTTCGCTTGCTATAATTTGGCTTTTAAAATTCAGTTAAAATAGAATTGATTTTTGATTCGTGTAGTGTCGGAGTTATTTTTCTGTGGCCCTTGCTTGGCACTTTTGTCTCCCATCCTGTCACTCCCTCTCTCCCTCCCTTTTTCTTGCTAGTATTTGCTGTAGGTCCAGCTCACCTAGGTGTGAGAAATGCAGTTGTGGCATAGAGACAAAGTAACAAGTCGTTTTGTGGGTTGTGCAGGATCAGGAGGAGAAAATGAGATGAATGAGTGAAATTTACAGCTGACTACCAGATATGGAATATTGGCTAAGAAGACATTTGGAACTTCCGGATGAAAATGAGCTTTTTAGACTGTAATGACTATGGTTTAATCCCTGTGATAATTTTTCTTAGAGGTTGTGAAGAATGGGGTGTCCTACGTGCTGCTACTTTACTTCATAATGTAACTCCTGTCTTTCATGTAAGGTGTATTGTGCTGATTTTATTTGGAAGAATAACTCTGAAAGGGCAGAGTTACTCGTTTTCTGAAGATTGGCTTTTCTTTCTTATTTCTTTCTCTTTTTTAAATAATTATTTATCTAGTTTTATTTATTCATTTATTTATTTTAGTTTTGACGTTGGAGGAGGGGAAGGGAAAGGAAAAAAAAAAGCCACTAGGTCCAGGACTCGAACTGTGGTGGGCTATTTGGGGACATCCAGTGCCTTAACCACCACACCACCAACTGGCCCCATCTTTTTTATTTGTTTCTTGTGAGAGATTTTTGCTATAGCGTGCATGTGCTCACTAGAGAGACAGAAAGCAAGAAATCACCCCCACATGATGACCATGCCACAATCCCTTCTCCTCTGTTTTCCTCTTGGGATTTTGGGCACACGTGCACACACGCCCAGCATGAGTTTTAAGCCCCTGGGTCCAGGACTTGAACTGCTGTCAACTATGTGGGAGTCAAGTGACGTAACCATTATGCCATCTGCTGGTCCCAAGGACTGGGTTTTCTTTTTTGGTTCTGATGATTTGATTTTGATTTGCCAGTAAAGCACTTTCTTCCACTTTCATCCTTACCTTCAGGTAGTCAATGCTGTAAGTTGCTTGGTTGGATTTCCAGGGAAACTATATTGCAAGCACAGTTACTGATGTCCTAGCGTTTATTTAACTAGTTGATTGAAACAATTCAGTAGATGTTTTTCATTTCTTTTAAAGGTAAACATAACCTAAATGTAGGGAGAATGGCCCGGTTACCATAGTAATGACATGATTGTAGTGTCATTAATATAATAGCATGGTTACTAATATCGCTCACGTGGGTCTCCCAGTTTTCTTCCTTTCTTTTAGTTGTGACAGAGGACTGAGAGACAGAAGGAGAGAAAGAAGAGGGAGAACGCACCTCCTCCTGTGGTGTGGGCATGCCTAAATTCCTTCTCCATTTCTCCATCCTGTTGGGATTTTGGGCATGCACATACATGCGCCCAGCATGTTTTCATCCCACCAGGGCCAAGATTCAACCCATGCAATCAACCATCTGGAATCTGACTTCCTTAACCACCAGGCCATGGCATTGTCCCCCTAGTTTTTACCTTTATAACACAATTGCTGCTTTTCTTGCTGATTTTATTTTTTTTAGAATTATTTATTTACTTTTATTTATTATTATTAAGTTTTAAATTTGCTATAGGGCACATGTACTCACCAGAAACAGAGGGAGAGTAAGCCACCAGATCCAGGACTTGATCTGCCATTGGCCATGTGGGAATTTAGCACCTAACCGCTGTGCCACATGTTGGCCCTTCTTGATGAAGTATCTAAATGAAAGTCATAAGATAGTTTACCGTGAATATATATTATTCATATGTAAAAACTGAAAACACTTGCCTACATGACTGCAATACTACTTATTATCAACTGACACAATTAACAGTGCATTTGTATCATTGGTCACGTCGACCCTGTGCTCAGCACATTTCCCACATGGTCTCCAGTGTCTTCCATACAGACAGGTCTGGTCACGCTGTGATTCCTTCCTTCACCCTCCAGCCCACACTCAGGCACCTGCCCAGAGTTCTTCAGGCTGGCCAAGCTGGGGATCCGAACCCACAGTGCTCCTGTAGCATCTGGGTTCACTTGAGCAGGGTGTTAACTGCTGTGCCATGGAGCCAGCCCTCGATAGCTGTTTTGTTTCTTCTTTCGCCATAGGGAATGTGCTCTCCAGTGAGAGACAAAGTGACAGGGAGCAGAGAAAGCACAGGGGACAGTCACACTGCAGTCTCCTCTCCATGTCACACCCCCTTTCAAGATCTTGGACATACATACACAAGTGCCTAACATGTTTTTAAAGGTACCAGGTCCGGGACTTGAACCATGCAGTTGTCCATGTGGGATCCAGCTTCCTTAGCTACCAAGGTAGAGAGCTGGGCCTCCTCTCCAATCTGTTGGGTAGATATATATTTAAGGTTCTAGGCTGATTTCACTATGTCAGGGCCATCTCTTTTTTCACTCTAATGTAGAATCTTAAAACTAAATGTTTGGGGACCAGCAGGTGGCATGGTCGTTAAGGGTGCCTGACTCCCACATGGCCTACCATGGTTTGAGTCCTTGACCTAGCTGCTTGCTTTCTTATTTTCTCTCTCTTTCTCTTTCCTCTCTTTCACTCTGACCCTCTCCTCACTCTGTCTCTCTCTGGTCAAATTAAAAATAAATAAATTTAAATAAAATAATTTCTAAAAAAAATCCCTAAATGTTTGACTTGATAAGGAAAAAACAGAAGTGCTAAAAGCTTAGGTTTCATATCGGGCTTAGCCCCTGCTAGCTCTGACCTACCTAGATCTTCCCCCCTAGGGATTCATTTCTTTGCCCTTCAGAATAAACAAGGACGAGATAACGACATGTCTCCTTCGGGCCAGCACGTGCTCAGAGCTCCTCCTGGCAGGGGTGCTGTGTCAGTGCTGCTTGTGCCTCCTGGCAGGGGTGCTGTGTCAGTGCTGCTAATGATTCTGTCTGAGATTCAGGTTGGAACTCAGTTTATCCGTGGTGTGTCTGGAGGAGAAAGAAAAAGGACCAGTATAGGAATGGAGCTGATTACCGACCCTTCCATCTTGTTCCTGGATGAGCCCACAACTGGCTTAGACTCCAGCACAGCCAACGCTGTCCTTCTGCTCCTCAAGAGGTGAATGTTCAGGGCACCATTCCTCCGTGCAGCTAAAATCCGTTCGCCTCTCCCCGTGTGCCAGACACTGCTCTCGGTGCAGGAGACGCGGAAGTCCGTCCTTCCTTCTTTGCTGGGGGGAAACGGCCAAATAGGAAATAAGTGTGAACAAGAGACACAAAGAGGAAGAAGGCTGGCTGTGGTGGCTCCTGGGACAGTTTGCTTGGGTTGTCATGCCAAAGTGGAGTAAGCAAACAAAGGTATTTCCTTAGAGTTGTGGAGGTTGAGGTCTGAGGTCAGGGTGTGAGAATAAACACCTCTGTCCTTGGCTTGTGGAAGATTTTCTCCTCCCTGTGTCTTCACTTCCTCTTTCCTCTGTGTGTGGCTGTGTCCTTGAAACCTCTTGTAAAGATACCATCAGATTAGATTAAGGCCTACTGTTGACCATGTTTAACCTAATCACCTCTTTAAAGACTGTCCCCAGATACTGTCACTTTTCGAGGTACTGGGGAGTTGTGTTTTTGTTTTTGTTTTTGTTTGTTTTGTTTTTGAGAGATTTTTTTGCTATAGAGGGCTCTTGTGCTTGCCAGAGAAACAAAGCAAGAAAGCACCCCCTCCCCGCTCCCCAGGGAGGATGGCCACACTGCAGTCCCTCTCCATTCTCGTGATTTTGGACATGTGTGCACGTGCAGCTTGTGTGAGTTTTTCCCTTTTTTAAACCTCTGGGTCTGGGACTCAACTATGTGGGAGTCCAACGACGTAACCATTGCGCCATCTGCTGGTCCCAGCGTGTGTGTTTTTAGGGGATACGGTTTAGCCCTTTCCAGTTGGAAAAGAACATGAAGTGGAATTGGGTGTGTGGCAGTTGGATATGTAGACCTCGGTAGGCCCTAGGCTAGCGTTTAAGCATCGTGCACGTGGAGCTGGGTCCTACAGAGCCAGCCATGTTCGTATTCCAGGCCTGGTGACTTGAATATTCCATGTGCAAGTATGTGCCTGCTTAAAATCTGAAAAGGAATAATGGAGGAGAAAGGATTGTGGTTTGACACCCCCCCCCCCCCCATTGTGCATTGCTCCTTCCCAACCAGGTCACATGAATGCGCACACTTCCTGACAAAAATAACAAAAAGACACATGCAAATACACATTATAAATATTAGTGTATTGGGGCCAGCAGGTGGCATGGTGGTTAAGGTGCTGGATTCCCACGTGGCCGACCATGGTTCGAGTCCCAGACCTCGTGGCTTGCTTTTTCACTCTCTCTCTCACTCTCTCTCTGGTTAGTGCTCAAGCCCTACAGCAAAATTAAAAAATAATAGTAAATGAATTCAAATAAATAATTCTTTAAGAAATAGTACCTTTTAGTGTCTGTGTGTATGCCCATGAGTTCATAATTTCTTTTTTGGTTGTTTCTTGTTTTGTTTTGCCATTGGGTATGTGTGCTTGCCTGAGAGAAATTGGGATGGAGGTGAGAAATTACTTTCCAGATGGATGGCCATGCTAAAGTCCCTTCTCCATTCTTGCAAGGAGTTTGGACACACACACACATGCCTGGGGTGTTTTTCAAACTACCAGGTCTGGATTCAAACCACCGAGTTGGCCATGTGAAATCTAGCCACCCTAATCACCATGCCTCTGACTGACCCCCCCATAATAATATTTCCAATTCCAATCTAACACTTCAGTGTTCCTTTTTAGTCTTTATTCTTTTCACGTTTGTGAATGACTTTTTTTTTTGAGAGATTTTTGCTATAGGGCGCGTGCGCTCGCCAGACAGAGACATAGAGACAGAAAGTGAGAAATCACCCCCCCAGGGGGATGGTCACGCCGCAATCCCTTCTCCTCCATTCTCCTCTCGGGATCTTGGGCATGCACACACACGCGCCCAGCGTGAGTTTTAAGCCACCGGGTCCGGGATGCGAACCACAGTCGACTACGTGGGAGTCCAGCGCCATAGCCATTATGCTAACTGCTGGTTCCTGTGAATGACTTTTGAGATAGTGGTATACTTGTTTCCCATTATCTAATATATTTACTCACTTCAGTTGCTTCATTTACTTGTTCAATGTAATCGATCTCCCAATGCCTCCGGCCACTCCCTCAGCCTGGAAATTTCCTTCTGCTCCGTTTTCCAACCTAGGAGACACTATACCTTCATGTGGGTTCTTCCCGCTCACTCCTATGCTTGCTTTAATGCCTGTACCTTTGTTAGCAGCCCTGTGCTAGGAGAGAACTAAGAAGATGGGAAGGTAGCCAAGGTGTTAGACATCTGACCTGTGAGGGGCCAGTTGTACTTACAAATAAAGGAGCTACACAGTGGGTTTGGCGTTCTGGTTAAGATAAAGAATATAGTCATGACTTTGAAAACTCCGTAACCTCTGTTCAGCAGAGAATGCTGCATTGATGTGGCATGCTGGGATATTTTCTTCATAAAGTGAGCTGGTGGCACACGTGCATGCTCGGTCTTGCTGGAGAGGTCTGGCACTGTCCTTCTCGGGCTCTCCAAGCACATGCACCACTGGGGACTTGTTCAAGTGCAGCCTCTGTTGCTGTAGGTCTGAGTGGAGTCCAGGCTTCCCTGGAGGAGACCCTGACAGGAGTCAGTGGGGCAACCATTGGTCCCCGGCCACATTTGATAACAGGGCTCTCCCCCAGTTCCATTTTGTTACTTTCACAGCTCCTAACTACTGCCTAAGGTTCCTGCTTCTCAGTGAAGGGAAATGGCAGGTGTTGCAGCAGACATTTTTAGTTTGATTCTTTTTTTAAAAAATTATTATTTATTTAATTTTATTTATTCATTCATTTATTTTAATTTGACCAGAGAGAGACAACAGAGAGCGAGAGAGGGAAAGGGAGAAAGGAAGCCGCCAGGTCCGGGACTTGAACCTTGGTTGGCCATGTGGGAGTATCCAGCACCTTAACCACCATGCCAACTGCTGGTCCTTTAGTTTGATTCTTTACCCTAAACCAATACACACACATTCATGCGTGGTGTGCAAGCTCCACGCTCTGCAACATTGAGCTGCTTGTAGTGGACTCGAACCTCGGTTGACCATGTGCGAGTCCAGCAACGTAACTGTTACGCCATCTGGTGGTCCCTGATTAGGGCTTTATTTCACTCTTGTTCCTTGTCCCTTTGTCTTAAGTCTCTTTTCTCTCTCTTCTTAGCTTATTCCTATCAGGCCTTTTGATACTCTACTTACGTCACCTTCAAACCAGTACCTCCATTAAATAGGTAGTTTAGCATGTTGATGGTTATTGAATTACCTGAGATCAAGTCCCAGACTTGCCCAGTACCGCGATACCTTGGCCAGTTCTTTAACCCTTTAAGCCTTATCTATGAAATGAAGGAAATGGTAATATTGGAACTATCATAGAACAATATTGTAAAAACTGAAACGAGATTTTTCTAAGCCTTTCATGCAGTACAGTTTAAGAAACCCTGGTCTTTTAAAATAAAAGCTTTGAATTTAAACTCCCGAAGTATTAGGTGCATAATATGAAATGAGAGATTAGTGTGAGATCATCAGATTAACCTCAGGACGAATAATCTAAAAGCAAGAATAAAGTACTATGTTGAGAAGTGTACGTTTCAGAAATTTAATAACTTGTTTCTTTTCTCACTTTTAACTTAGAATGTCTAAACAGGGTCGAACAATCATCTTCTCCATTCATCAGCCTCGATACTCCATCTTCAAATTGTTTGATAGCCTAACCTTATTGGCCTCAGGAAGACTTATGTTTCATGGGCCTGCCCAGGAGGCTTTGGGTTACTTTTCATCAGCTGGTAAGGTTGACTTTTTTTCATGAGATAAGATTCTTTAAGTAGAATTCTGAAGGAGAGCAAAAGGGGCCGAATGCTGTCGATCTTGGGAAGACCGACACGGGTTGGGCCACTCTAGACACCTTTGCTTATTTAATACTAAAATTTTCCCTCATTTTACAGCACTTGCTTGTTGTGTTGGGTTGTGTTGGGTTCTTCCTGTTTGAACATGCGTGTGTGTGTGTGTGTATTTTTCTTTTCTTTTCTTTTTTTTTTTTTTGGAGAGGTTTTTGCTATAGGACGTGTGCGCTCACCAGAAAGACAGAGAGAGACAGAGAGATAGAAAGCGAGAAATCACCCCCCAAGATGGTATGGCTATGCTGCAATCCCTTCTCCATTTTCCTCTTGGGATCTCGGGCACGCATGCACACATGCCCGGCGTGAGTTTAAGCCACCAGGTCCTGGACTCGAACCGCTATCGGCTACATGGGAGTTCAGTGACATAGCCATTACACTAACTACTGGTCCCTGTGTGCATACTTTTTCTACCAGGCCTACATCTATTCCCCTTCCCAGTTATGGTGACTGTTCCCTAAAAAATGCAATAATGATGCATTGGACTCAGCCAGTCCTGTTTTTTGCTATAGGGTACGTGAGAGAAAAAGAGAGAGAAAATGTAAGAAATCACCCCCCTACCCTACCCCAAGGAGGAATGGTCATGCCACAATCCCTTCTTCTTCATTCTGTTTTCAGGATTTTTGGACACACACACACACACATACCCACATACACTCTGCATATTTTTCAAGCTGCTAGGTCTAAGACTTGAATCACACACCTGGCCATGTGGAATCTAGCTCCCTTAACCACTATTCCACCAGCTGGCCCCTCATCGCCAGATTTTCTGATGGTTGAACATTTCTGGGAAGGCCTAATATCATTGTCTTCTTGACCATAGAACAGGCCAGGTATCACCAGTATGCATCCCCTTGCATGTGATGTTGGTTTATCTGGAGATTCTCCTGAATTGTCTAGTAACACTGGATTGCGGATTTGGGTCTTGAGTGTGTGATCTGTCAATAGTCAACAGCGTGCCTAGCCCTAAATCTGATGTTTCTAATAGCTCTAGGTTGCCTGGTTCTTTTTATTTCAAACATGCGATTCTCTTTTTAATGGCTTGTGCAGTCTGTTTCATTTTGGAAGTACTTGGATATGATTGTAAATGGTTTTCAGATGGCCCCAAATACAACTGTAAATATTCATCAGCTATCTTTTTCTTTTTTAAGGTTATTTATTCAGTTTTACTTATGGATTTATTTATTTTAATCTTGACCAAAGAGAGAGAGAGAGAGAGAGAAGGTGAGAAAGCAAGCCTCCAGGTCCAGGACTAACCGTAGTCGGCCAAGTGGGAGTCCAGTGCCTCAACTAGTGCACCACCTGCTGGCCCCTTCGCTGTCTTTGTGAAGTTAGTTTTGTTTAATCTCTATCACTTGCAGTAGCCAAGTGTATGCAGATCTGAGGAAGTCAGGGAACATGCACCTGAAGTCCGACTTCAGGCCAAGTTGAGTGTGATGGTGCCACCGAGGTTGAGGTGAGAGTTCAGGGCTGCTGTGCTGGTCGTGGTCCCACGGTGCTGCTCTGGGGATTTGCTTTTGCTCTCTTTGGAGCTGTGACATCCCGAAAGATCATTTGAATTTCTGAAGTTAGTAGGTGGAGAAGCAGTCATTGCTAATACGGAATGCCATTCCTGCCTTCCCTAGTTGAACCCAGAGAGTGGAACACACATAGGCTAAGTTTTTGTGTTTTAAGAAGCACTGATAAGTCCCAGAGCATCATGAGAGCTGGTCAGATCCCATGAGTGATGACAGGTAAGGACCAACCACCAAGGCAGGATGTGCTGAGAGCCCAGGGATGGACCAACCACCAAGGCAGGATGTGCTGAGAGCCCAGGGATGGTTCGCAATATGCCTTACTTCGGCAGAGAGACACAGCTGTGGGAAAGTTGTGTGATCGGATATGTAAGAGGAGAGTCATTTACTGAGGGAACAGGAGAGAAAGCAGATGAAGAAGTTAGATTCTGTCTTCTCACCTCACCTTGCTCACCTTCTGGAATGGAATCCACTTTATTTTGGGCCATGGAAATTCGTACTCATGGGCTATCGTCTTTCCTAGGTTACCACTGTGAGCCCTATAACAACCCTGCAGACTTCTTCCTGGACGTCATTAATGGAGATTCTTCTGCTGTGGTATTGAACAGAGAGGAGGACCATGACGGTATGTGAATTTGCTAGATTCACAGATTGGTTTTTTCAGTTGTACTCACCAAAGAGAGACAGAGACAGAGGTCGGAGAGGAGGTCATGACAGACACGGTGAGGCCTGGTCCTGCCACAGTCCCTTCTTCATTTCTCACCCTCTGGGACTCAGGCATGCACGTGCACATACTTGCTATGTTTTCTAAGGCACCAGGACTGGGACTTGAACTTGGTTAGCCATATATGACCCAGTTGTCCTTAACCACTTAGCTATAGACCTGCCCAGATTCACAGGTTTTTATTTATTTATTTATTTATTTATTTAATTTTTGTCTAATTGTATTGGCTTAGTTTGGCAATGTGGTGGCTGATGAAATGATGACTTTGTGGGGACAGCAGATGGCATAAGGGGTATGTTTCTGGACTTCCACGTAGTCATCCACAGTTTGAGGCCTAGACTCAGGACCTTAAAACTAATGCTGGGGATGTGGATGTGCATGCTCAAGATCCTGAGAGGAGAATGGAGGAAAAGAGATTGTGGCATGACCAGACCCTCCTGGGAGATGATTTCTCCATTTTTGTCTCTCTCTCTCCAGCGAGCACATGTACCCTATAGCTAAAATCTCTCTAAAAAAATAGAATTACAGTGTTAGGGGCCAGCTCTGTGGCCTGGTGGTTAAGGGAGCTTGATCCCGCATGGGTGATGATGCAGTCTGCATTACAGACATGGCAGCTTGAAAAACATGCTAGTTGCATGTGGATATGTGCAACAGATCTTGACAGATTGGAGATATGGAGGAGAAGGCACTTTGCCAGGGCCATGCCTCATTAGGGGATGGTTTCTCCCTGTCTCTTACCTATGAACACACATGCCCTCTGACATTTAAAAAAAAAATTTTGGAGAGGTTTTTGCTATAGGGTGCCTGTGTTCACCAGAAAGACAGAGAGAAACAGAGAGACAGAAAGTGAGAAATCACCACACACACCCCCCCCAGGGGGGATGGCCACACCTCGTTCCCTTCTCCATTGTCCTCTCAGGATCTTGGGCACGCACGCACACGCACCCGGCGTGAGTTTAAACCACCGGATCTGGGATTTGAGCCACAGTCAACTACATGAGAGCCCAGTGACATAGCCATTATGCCAACTGCTGGTCCCCCTCTGACTTTTTTTTTTTTTAAAAGAATACTATGTTAGGGAAGAATCTAAGAAAGAGGTCACAGAAGAATGAGCTAATCCAGCTCTGTTGATAATAATATTTCCTCTCCTTTCCATGTTTTTTCCAAAGTCAAGGAGACCAAAGAGCCTGCCATGGGAGACAAGCCACTCATAGAAAAATTAGCAGAATTTTACGTCAATTCCTCCTTCTACTCAGAAACCAAGGCTGAATTAGATCAGTTATCACAGGGTCAGAAAAAGAAGAGCGTGGCCTTCAAGGAGATCGCCTATGCCACCTCCTTTTGTCATCAACTCAAGTGGATTTCCAGGCGTTCATTCAAGAACTTACTGGGTAACCCCCAGGCCTCCATTGCTCAGGTAATCTGGCAGACTCTCATCATCGTGCTGTGAAACACACGTGTGGGAACAGTTTGGTTGTGATACAATGTCTGCATTATGGTCGTTTATCTTCTACCCACCCTTGCTTGTATCTGTTGTCCCCACTCTGAGATGAAGAGTCCGTCATTAGAACACATAAGAGTAACATTTTACGTATGAATAGCTTTTCTTTTTTTTTTTTTAAAGCTAGATTTTTGCTGTAGGGCACATGTGTTCCGTCCAGAGAGACAGACAGAAAGCAAGATATCACTCCCCAGGGGGGATGGCCATGCCATAGTCCCTTCTCCTCCATTCTCCTCTTGGAATTTTGGGCATGCAAGCATATGTGTGAGTTTTAAGCCACTGGGTCTGGGACTTGAACTGAGGTTGACTCCGTGGAAGTCCAGCAACATAACCATTATGTTGTCTGCTGGTCCCATTTGCTAGTTTTTTTTTTGTTACAGGGCATGTATACTTCCCAGGAAGAGAGGGAAAGTGATGGCCGTGCTGCAATTCATTCCTTTTTTGGGATATTTGGCATATACCGATGTACAGGTCTGGGACTTGAACCACACAGTCAGTCACGTGGGGTTCAGTGCCTCAACCATCACGTCGGCCTAGGCTGGCCTAGGGTTTATTCTTAATTGTGACTTATGTGGTAGATTTGTCTTATTTGGAAAAAGCCTTAAATTTTGCTTGTCTATAAAGGTGATTTATAAGTATCTAATTGAAGTCACACTGATGGTAGTTCTGAACAGGGCACAATTTCAATTCTTACCTGTTTCTTTTCTTCTTTTTTTTTTTAATTTTACTTTATTTACTTACTGTGACCAGAGAAGGACAGAGCTAGAGAGAGAGGGAAAGTGAGAAAGCAAGCTGCTAGATCTGGGACTCAAACCATGGTCAGCCATGTGGGAGTCCAGTACCTTTAACCCCTGTGCCACATGCTGGTTTCTCTTCTTCTTTCTTTCTTTTTAAATAATTATTTGCTTAATTGTTATTATTTTTTAATTTGACTGGGAGGCACGGAGAATTGAGAAAGCAGGCCAAAAGGTCTGGGACTTGAATCACAGTTGGCCGTGTGGAAGTCCACTGCCCCAGCCACCGGCCAGCCCCAAGATTCGGCATGTTTTGATGCTCGGTTTCCTTCTGATGCACACATGAGCCCAGTGCCTCCAGTTTTGCGTGTTCAGTATCTTTGCCTCCTCCGTGAACTTGGTTCCAGGAAAGGAATCACAGTTCAGAGCAGTGACAGTCTTGGTAAGAATAGAACCTTGTATCTCCCCGAGCACCTGCCCAGTGGGGAGACTCTTATTCAGGTTTGTAAATACTGGAATAATAGTGGAGGTCAGGGGTGGCAACTTTCTTTTGTAAAGTGCTCGATAATTTGGGGGTTTTTGCAGACCAGGTTTTGTGCTTCTCGTGTAACCCGCTCTGCCATTTTAGGGCAGAAACAGTCAGGGCTAACACGTAGACGCACGAACAGGGCCGTGTTCCACTACAGCTTTACTCAGGGATACTGACATAGGAATTTTACATAGATTTCATATGGCAGGAAATGATTTTTGAAATCATTTAAATGTCAAAACCATTCTTAACCTCATGAGCTCAGTGGGCCATAGTTTACTGACTCGTGTCTTAGAAGAGGAATATATTCTCACATGTTTTTTACTTCTCCAAGTTTTGAGCATGGCGTTGGTAAAATGTTTTATGGCTTCTTGTTGGTAAATCTTGTATCTATTGTCTTAAAGCTGAACTTTGGTGTGAACTAGTTATTTATTTACCAGTTTTGACCTTGATCTCTGATAATGCTTTTAACTAGTGGTTGTATTTGGAAGATCCCAGCGTGATCAAATGGTCTTTATCAAGATTTAGTGTTCGTTTTTGGTGCCAGCGGTTTTAATCTTTTGGGAAGGCATTACTATCAGTCTTCTGGAGATCTGGCACTTCCATTGGCATATTAAATATTTACTGTGGGCTAATTTTCATTTTAGGGACATCCATAAACATCCCTTGTAACACAAGTTGTTAACCCATTTAAATAAATACAGCAGAGGGTATTTAGAGAATCTTCCCTTTTGTATTCTATTAAAAACAGAGGCCAGAGGTCACTCTGCTCCATTGTATAACGGGTGCCTGTTTGTTTTTCTGTTCTTGGTGCAAGAAAGAATAACAGGGAAGCACACACCTTGTACAAACACGATAAGTTTATGGGATGAGTCGTGCAGTCAGTGTGAAAGCTGCCTTTGAATATACTTTAAAACTTTGAAGCCTTTGGGAAACATCAAGGGTAATACCAACAGGGTTATTAGAAGACAACGAATTAGAGTGCAGAAGAAACAAAGCAAGTGGAATTTCCAGTTGAAGTCTGACTGTTCCTAAAAGCTGTACTGTGTGTGGGACCAGCAGTTAGCATAGAAGAGTCAACAGCATTTTGTTAGGAAGCTTGAGCTGTTGAAATAATAGACTATATTTTGAGGGTAATGAAAATATGTCAAAGAAATGGATCCCCCCCCAAATTTCTGTCATATTAGCAGAAGAAATTTAAGGCTTTCTCATAACTGAGACATTTAAGTAATATTCTTTCCAGGCTATGGTCTCTCCAACGTGTATTCACAGTTCTTGGTCCTGTTATTCCACTTTGGCTGGTATCATGCCAGAAGCATTTGTTTGTTTGTTTTAATAATTATTTTTATTTAATTTCATTGTTATTTATCATTATTACTATTTTTCGATTTGCTCTTTCGTGTACTCACAAGAGAGAGAGAGCAAGCTGCCAGGCCTAGGACTCAAACCACAGTCAGCCATGTGGGAGTCGAGCACCTTGACTACCATTCTGCTTCCTGACCTCCAGAAATGAGCTTGACAGATTACTTTAGGTCTTCATACTACTGGCCTTAGTGTCAAGACTTTTGTTTTGGTTTGTTTTTCATTTTTGAACTTTGAGACATACTGTAGGATATTTTCTATTCTTTTATTTTTTAAATTTTATTTATTCTTTCATTCATTTATTTTAATTTTACCAGAGAGAGACACAGAGAGAGAAAAAGAGAGAGGGAAAGTGAGAAACCAAGCCACCAGCTCCAGGACTTGAACCATGGTCAGCCATGATGGAGTGTCCAGCGCCTTAGCCACCACACTACCTGCTGGTCCTGGATATTTTATTTTCAATAGGTAACTATTTAGGCCATTAATAAAGACCACAAGTAGAGGGCAACTAGTGATACAGTGGTTAAGGCAACTGGACACCACATGGCCGACTGTGGGGTTTGAGTCCCAGACCTGGCAGTCTGAAAAGCACAATGGCTACGTGAGCATTGCATGCCCAAGATCCCAAGAGGAGAATGGAGGAGAAGGGCCTGTGGTGTGGCCATCCCCCCTGGGGAGTTCTTTCTCACTTTTCCTCTCTTTCTCTCTGTCTCTCTCTGGCGAGCATACTCTCCCTATAGCAAATAAAAATAACAAAACAAAAAAGGTAGAATTTCCTCAACATAAATCATTAGAACCCTTATCTCTATTTATTACGGTGTTCAGAAGAGACTTTTTGTCCTACAAACTAAGGTGATGTTTGTCTAGTCCCCTCGGAAGCCAGCCAGGGAGAGTACATAGGTGAAGGTAGGGACGGCCAAGCATTGGCAGCTCGGGCTCCGGAGGTGGGTGAGGTCGGCGGAGAAGCATGACTAGCAATCGGATGAGAGAAGTTCCCAGATGCTCTCCGAGGAAGCTGTGGAGTGCTTGGTGACGGTGACAGTGACAGTGCACTTTCCCAGGCCAGGCACGCACTCCCCAGAGCATGGACCGGCGGGCCACGGCTCCCCCCTTTCCTTATCGTGCACAGTTGTCCTGTGGAATTTGTGTGTATGTGTATTTTCAAAATTTTATTTATTTTTACTTTTAAGAGTAAAGACATCCTGTTTTTGTTTGAACCTCTTGAAAGTGAAACTATGCGTGTTCACTGGCACGAAGCTCGAGAGTTTACTCTGGGTTCAGTGTCTCTTGGACTTTAATCCTAAACAGCTTGGCTCGTGGGTCGCCTCACTCTGCCCTTTCCATGACTCTTAGGGGCTTGGTAGCCTGGACTGGGGCTCGAACTGGCATTGTTCGTGGAGCCCTGGGAGGAAGCTTAGGGTGTCCAGTTGTCTGCTTTAGTCCTATCAGTCTCCCTAAACCACAGATAATTTGATTTTTCAGTTTGATTTAGCAAGCAGTCTAAGAATGTACTCTGCTTTATATTCTCACTGGGACTTGAGCCAAGTCATTGAAAGTGCTTATCTCCACAGAGAGATCTGATTATGTAACCATAGATAGATGTTATTAACTAATAAATGGTATGTATACATATTTACCTCTAATTGAAACTTTGTTTCTTTCTTTTTTTGTTTTTTTTTTTTTGAAAAGATAATTGTCACAGTCATACTGGGATTGGTTATAGGTGCCATCTTCTTTGGTCTAAAACATGATCGTACTGGAATCCAGAATAGGTAAGTCAATTTGGATCTTGATTTGGAGAGGATGTTTGCTGTTACTTTGTTTAAGCGTTTGAGAATTCATTGAGAATTTGAGTTTAAGACAGGCACAAAGTGTTACTGTTTATTGATGGGTAGGGTTAGCCAACGAATTGGAAACCGAATGGAAGAGATAACGTTCTTTCTGCTGGGGCCAGCCTGTGACATGGTAGTTAAGGTGCTGGACACCCACATGGCTGACCACGATGCGAACTGAGTCCTGGACCTAGCAACTTGCTTGCTTTCTTACTTTCTGTTTCTGTCTCTTTTTCTGGTCAAATTAAAAAAAATAAACAAATACAATGAAATAATGTTAAAAATCTTAATTACAAAAAATAACTGAAAGTTTTTTAAAAATGCTGAGCACCTTTATATGTCTAAAATCCCAAAGGGATTGTGGCATGACTATTTTGTGGGGATGGAGGGTGCTTTCTTTCCCCACTCTCACTTCTGCAATCACACACACACACACACACACACTCACATACACACACGCTCTCTGGCAAAAATTTAGGAACTATATACAGGAGATAAAATTGACTGATTTCACTACACCTTAACTACCATGCCATGGGATGGTCTAACCCTTTTAGTTAATTTTAAATAGACATTTTGGTATCATTAGGTATATTCCCATCATTGTACAATTCCTGAACTTTCTTTGTCTTCCTGTATAGGATCTCCATACCCATTACTCAGTAACTCCCTATGCCACCTCCCCCAACCCCTGGCTACCATCATATTTTCTGCCTCTGAATTTGACTACTCTAGGAACCTCATCAGTGGATCATACAGCATCTGTCCCTTGGTGACAGGCCTTTTTCCCTAAGCATGAAATTGTCATGATCCAGCCATAGTGTTACAGATGACAAGATTTCCTTTTTTTTTTTCTTTTTTTGAGAGGTTTTGCTATAGGGTGCGTGTGTGTGCCAGAAAGACCGAGAGAGACAGAAAGTAACCCTTCTCCATTCTCCTCTTGGAATCCTGGGCATGCACACACGCCTGGCATGAGTTTAAGCCACCAGGTCCAGGACTAGCACCGCAGTTGATGACATGGGAGTCCAGTGACATAGCCATTATGCCAACAGTTGGTCCCCAAGATTTCCTTTTCATAAGGCTGAATAATTGCACTGTGTATATGTGCCACATTTTCTTCATCCATCACCCAGTGATGGACCCGTAATTGCTGGATTGTGTCCACCTTCTGGCTGTTGTGAGAAGTGCTGCTGTGGGTATACAAATACCTGTTCAAGTCCCTGCTCTCGGTGTGTACCCTGATATAGAGCGATTGGACCAAGTGGTAATTCTATTATGTTTTTGTAAAAAGAATTTTTATTTAACTTTGTATTTTAATTTGACCAGAGAAGGACAGAATCTGAGAGAGAGAGGAAAAGTGAGAAAGTGAGTCACCAGGTCTGAGACTCAAACTGCAGGCAGCCATGTGGAAGTCCAGTGCCCTTAACCAGCACGCCACCTACTGGCCTCATAGTTCAATGATATTTTTGAAGACATGCCAAACTGTCTTCCACAGCAGCAGCTTTTTTTTTTTTTTTTTTTTAATTTTTGCCATAGGGATAATGCATTCGCCAGAGAAAGACAGAGAGAAAATGTGAGAAGGTGGGACCAGCAGGTGGTGGAATAGTTATGTCTTTGGCCTCCCATATAGCAGTTTGGGTCCTGGACCTGGTAGCTTAAAACCTACACAGGGTGTGTGTGCGTGCATACCCAAGATCCTAGGAGAATGGAGGAGGGATTGTGACCTGGCCATCCCTCCCCAGGTGGCTAAGGTGCTAAGCTTTCACATGACTGACTGCAGTCTGAATCCCGGACCTGGCAGCTTGCTTTCTCACTTTCCCTCTCTCTCTCTTGTCAAATTAATAAGTAGTGGAATTTAATAAATCTTTTAAAAAAAACAAATAATTACAGTGTATTTAGTTCCTTAATAATAAAATTTATGGCTGGCGCTGTTGCGCGTAGGAAGCCAGATCTCACCCAGCATACTGCAGTTCGATTCCCAGTCCTGGCAGCTTGAAAAATACTTGGGGATGTGTGTGTACCCAAAATCCTGTAGGGAAGGAGGAATAGAGGGAAAAGGATTGTGGCTTGACCACAGCCCACTCATCTCTGTCTGTGTTTTTCTCTTGTTCCCTCTGGCAATAAAAAATAATTTAAAATTTTCAGTGTAAAATAAAATATAAGAGTTAAAAGAAATTTTACCATCTACTGTTTCTTTTCTTTTTTTAAAAAAAGTAATTATTTTATTTAACTTTATTTATTTAAATTTGACCAGAGAGGAAGAAAGAGAGAGAATTTGAGAAAGCAAGCCACCAGGTCTGGGACTCGAACTGTGGTCGGCCATGTGGGAGTCCAGCACCCTTAACCACCATGCCACCTGCTAGTCCCCACCATTTACTTTTTCATAATCATTCTGTAGGGACATTGTCATATGTATTTTCACTGTCTGCTTTTTTCAGAATCCTGTGTATGAAAAAAAGTGTTTTAGAATCAGCAGTCTGAACATGACTGTAGTGTTAGATAGATGCAAGAAAACAAAGAGAACTGAATTTTTGCCATGTCCCATGTTTTTGAAATTCACTATTTTCATTATTGTCAAAGTACTTACTTTTAAAATACCCTGGTCCTTTAGTTCTGTAAGTATTTAAATAATTACTCTGAGAATATTTTTCTTTGAAGAGAGTTGGTGTTGTTCACTTGGGTTTACATTCCTAAGCATATGTTCTTGTTTTTATGTCATTCAAATGATATTCTTTCATCTCTACTCACATCCTCCAAGTCCTTAACTTGTTTAGGTATGAAGGAAAGTCCATCCCTGCCTCAGGGATGCTGGCATCATTTTGTAAAATCCTCGTTTCAGTTGTAGATGAACTGAGCTGCTTCCTTTATAAGTCTTATCAGTTTTCTGAGGAATGAACACTGCCAAGCCTAGCCTTGGTGCTGCTGTGGAGGTGCAGTGCTGGGAGCCACGTGGGAGACTGCGGTTTGGTTTCCCGGTGACCTTAAAAAATGTGTGTGCCTGTGACCCTGGCTGGCTGCAGGTTGAGAAAAGAAGGGGCACAATGTTTGCAGTATACATAAGTACTTTCTTTTTTGAGCACTTCGGGGACCACGTAAGAGGTTGGTTGCCTTATCGTGTCAAGGATTCTATGAAGGCTTTGGTGGTAGTTGTGTGGTGGGTATATATAATGAGGTGTTGGTCAAGGCTTCCTACACTGTCTGTTGTTTTTTATTTTTTAAGATTTTTGCTGTAGAGTGCATACATTTGCCAGAGAGAGACAGAAAGAAACAGTGGGAGGGAAAGTGAGAAATCACATCCCCCACCCCCTTGGGGATGGCCGTGCTGCAATCCCTTCTCTTGAGATTTTGAGCATGCACACATGCCGGTGTGATTTTTAAGCCACCAGGTCCAGGACTTGAACCATGGTGGGCCATGTGGAAATTCAGTCTCTTAACTACCATACTACCTGCTGACCACTCCATTGTCTGTTTTTGCATTAGGAATAGTACTTGGCTTTTTTTTTTTTTTTTTTTGAGAGGGAGAGGAAATTTGCTAGAGTATATGTAAGCTTGCCAGAGACAGAAAGTGAGACATCAACTCTCAAGGGGAATGGCCACACCACAATCCCTTCTCCTCGATTGCTCCTCTCAGGATCGTGGGCATGTGTATACACGTGCCTGGTGTGAGTTTTAAGCCGCCGGGTCCAGAACTCAAGCTGCTGTCAACTATGTGGGAGTTCAGCCACATCACTGTTACGCCATTTGCTGGCCCCCATACTAGGCACTTTTTTAGTATGAATTCAAGAGGATGGTATTTTTATGGCCTATATATGTCATGTATGTTAGCTCTCTGCCATAAAATCCTGTATATCAAATAGCTTAAACAATGGAAATTTATTTTTTCTTAGTTCTGGAGTCTGGAATTCTGAGACAGGGTGCCACATGGTTCGGTTCTCTGCGGTCTGTCCTCCTGGCTTGCACGTGGCCACCTTCTCGCCGTGTCCTTCTGTGGCAGTGAGCGTGTTGTGGTCTGTTTCTCCTGTTTGAAGGGCACTCATTCCATCATGAGGACCCTACTCCACGAATCCCCCTTTCGAAGCACCATCCCCTCAGGTGTGGGTCTTCAGCCCCTGACTGATGTGGAGCAGGGGCCTGAGACCGCATTTCACAGTGTGCAGCAAGCAGTCCAGGGTCTCTGGGTAGATGACCTCAGGGATGGGGCTGATGCCTGAGGGGTTCCTGCTTCCCTCTTTTCCCTAGATCAGTTTCACTTTTATTTCTTTTTTTCTTTTTCTTTTCTTTTCTTTTTTTTTTGAGAGGTTTTTTCGCTATAGGGCGCGCGTGCTTGCCTGACAGACAGAGACAGACAGAGAGTCAGAAAGCGAGAAATCACCCCCCACGGGGGATGGTCCCCCCGCAATCCCTTCTCCTCCATCCTCCTCTCAGGATCTTGGGCACGCACGCACACGCACCTGGCATGAGGTTTTAAGCCACCAGGTCTGGGACATGAACTGCGGTCGACTACTTGGGAGTCCAGCGACATAGCCATAGCTAACTGCTGGTTCCTCAATTTCACTTTTATTTCTAAGATATCATCTGTTAGGGTGTGGTGGGTAGAAAATGGAGTGGAATGTAAATTAAGTTAAAAAAAATTAAAAGTTTCAGAAAAAAAACCCCAAAAAACTAAAACTGTTATTGTGAAATTAAAAAAAAATACATTAAAAATACCTATTTGATGACTGCAGTAAGATATATAGCCCCAGCCAGGTGCTACTTTATAGGATGTTCATTCTACTCACTGAGGCTTATGCCTAAATTTGGACTTGTGTTCATAGAAATGTATGTATCTGCTGTGTGTGCTATGAAAATATTTAGATTAATTAAGATCTTTGGTGACTCAAAACGTGGGGGAAAAACAGTATAGAAAGCAAACATAGATACCAGAGACAGAGTGGGAGATGGCAGAGGGTAAGAGACAGGGAATCAAGGATGGAGGAATTAAAGCAAAATATACAGGAAGCGAGAAATGGAAAATTATTTGTTGACAAAAACATGTATGTTGATGTGCATGATTGAGCCAATATACAATGTACTCTGGATGGAAAAAAATCTCATTTTGTATGCTGTAATGATGTACAGTGAATGAATGTAAATAAATAAATTTAAAGAAAAAGAAAAAGAAAAAGAAAATGGAGCTGAACACTGAATTGACTGCGGCGCCTTTGTCCCCCTCTCTCGGCAGAGCCGGGGTGCTCTTCTTCCTGACCACCAACCAGTGCTTCAGCAGCGTGTCGGCCGTGGAGCTCTTCGTGGTCGAGAAGAAGCTCTTTATGTGAGTAGGTCTGGGAGGACGCCCTGGAGGGGGCTGCCCTGCAGCTTTTGGACCAGTAAGGGGCTATGTATTTTATTATATTTTAAGAATGATTTATTCAGAGGGTAGCAGGTGGTGTGGTGGTTGAGAGCACTGGACTCCCACATGGCCTACTCTGGTTCGAGTCTTGGACCTGGTGGCATGCTTTCTCACTTTCCCTTTCTCTCTCAAGTTTAAAAAAAAAAAAGATGGGGAAAAAAAGGAATTATTTATTTAATTTAATTTATTATTGTTATTATTTTTTATTTGCTGCAGGGCATGTGTGTGTGTGTGAGAGAGATAAAGCCACCAGGTCCAGACCTTGAACTATGCAGGCCATGGAGTGTCCAGCACCTCGGCCACTACGCCACCCCCTGGCCCTGCTCTGTGCCTTCTTCAACTACTAACCGGGCTGCATTCTGTGCTTTTGTTCACAGACACGAGTATATCAGTGGCTACTACAGAGTGTCATCTTATTTCTTTGGAAAACTGTTATCTGATCTGCTGCCCATGAGGATGTTACCAAGTATTATATTTACCTGTATCATATACTTTATGTTGGGTAAGTGCCAAGACGTAAAGGGTGCCAGTTTCTCTTTATAAGCCTCTTTGTGACTCTCAGAATTATAGATAAAGAGAGAGAGAGGGAGGAAGAAGGTGAGAAATCAGTCCCCAGGGCTACCCACACACACACACACACACACACACACGAGCCTGGTGCGGTTTTTCAAGTCCGAGTCCAGGACTTGAACCACTCTTTCGGCCATACGATCCAGCTGCCTTAACCTTTGTGCCACCTGCTGGCCCCACTGTGGACATTTTTGTCAAGACTTTCCCCCCAGGCAAACATTTGAAACCATTTATAAAGTCGTATTTTACTGAGAGATGTTATGTGTCATGCACACACATGAAAAGAAAGTATAAAAGTATTTGAAATTGTGCTGAAAGAGCTAAGGTATTATCTATATTTTATCTTTATAGATCTCTCTATAGTTGTGTGTATATTTATATTTATAGTCTCTTCCCTCCCTCTAGTGAGAGAAAGATGGTGATTTTTGCAGGCTTATTGATTTAATATCGATAACAATGCTCAGGTTTCACTCAGGCTGTGATTGTATTAGAATTTCCAGTTATTTCATTGGTCCCAGCCTCACCATATTTATTTTTCACCAAACACTGTAGGATAAGAACATTGATGGAGCTTAAATCCTCCCACTTTGCATATGAAAGGTGTGCTGTTAAGAGATACACTTAGAGGGGGCCAGCAGATAGTGTGGTAGAGAAGGTGCTGGACTCCCACCTGGCTGACTATGGTTCAAGTCCCAGACCTGGTGGCTTGCTTTTTCCCTGCCCCCCCCCTCCCCGACCAAATTAAGATAACTATTTAAATAATTAAAATTAAATAAATAATTCTTTTAAAAAGAGAGAGATACGCATAGACCCCCGCACTTCTGATCGATGTTCTTGTGGCTATCCCAAAACTCAGGGCAGTATTAGCTCATTATAGTTTATAAAGTGGTTTTATGAAAAACTTAAATTTAGTCCTGTTCTAAATCTCCAAGTCATGTGGTATTTGTCTGGGGAGACTTGGGTTATAGAGGCGCCCTGTCCTCCCCTTCTCCAGTTATTGAAACCCTTGGGAAGGTGGGTCTTCTGATCACCCCAGTGTCTTCGCTGGTGCAGTTCCAGCCCACAGGAAGCACTGTGTGATGTCTGGGTAACTGAATGTGCTCCTGATAATTTCCCAAGGCCAGTTCTGTCGCCTGTCACTCTCTATCTCTGGAATTCGGTAGCTGTTTGTAATTGCACATAAAGAAGCGAGGTGTTACATGCAGGAAAGCTTACACAGTAAGTGGAAAAGAGAAAACCATGCAGTAACTTTATGCAGTGACGTAGGGTGGGAATGATAAAACCGGTAAGCAGGGTCATTGAAGAGTGAGTGGATGACGTCTTTTTCATCCAGACATTAGTTTCTCAGAATATTACAGCGTTACTTTTGCCGTGAGCAATCCCCCGACGTAGTGGCCTCAGCAGCTGGATCCAACCCTGCCTTTCTTTCTGAAGGATTGAAACCCACGGTGGAGGCCTTCTTCATCATGATGTTCAGCCTGATGATGGTGGCTTACTCGGCCAGTTCCATGGCGCTGGCCATAGCAGCAGGCCAGAGTGTGGTGTCCGTAGCAACCCTTCTCATGACCATCTCTTTTGTGTTCATGATGGTGAGTGTACACTGTGCTTCTCGAGAGGGAGTTTTTCCTTTCCTTTTCCTTGTCCATTTGCCCGTCAGATGAAATTGATTTTGTGGATTCTGTGAATGGGACTCTGCTTTAAGGAGGTTCCAGATTGAAATATAGCTTCCCTTGTGGCCCAGATCCAGCAGTTTCGGCTCCTGTTCTATTGCAGCTACTACAATGTTAGTGAACATACACTAATGAGCTTTTTGAGGACATATGAAAGCTTGATAAACTGGGCACTCAAAAACCTAAAAAAAGGTTTGATGGACAGATTCCCTCTTTAAAATGATGGGTTGGTGGGACCAGCAGATGGCTTAATGGCTGTGTCGCTGGACTCCCATGTAGTCGACCACAGTTCGAGTCTGTGACTCGATGGCTTAAACTCACATCGGACATGTGTGTATGCATGCGTGCCCAGGATCCTGAGAGGAGAATGGAGGAGAAGGGATTGCTGGGTAGCATCCTCCCTAGGGGGTGGTTTCTTGCTTTCTGTCTCTGTCTTTCTGGTGAGCCACATGTACCCTATAGCAAAAACCTCTACAAAAACCATGGTCGGTTGGGGCCAGCAGGTGTCTTGGTTAAGGTGCTGGACTCCCATATGGTTACATGCAGTTTGAGTCCTGGGGCAGCTTGAAAATCATGCCATGCATACCTGTGTGTGTGTGTGTGTGTGTGTGTGTGTGTGTGTCCCAAATTCCAGGAGGTGAGTGGAGGAGAAGGGAACATGTGTTCCCTCCTCCTGCCCCCCCTACCACCAGGGGATGGTTTCTCACTTTTTCTCTCACTGTCTCTCTTTGTCTCTTTCCCAGAAGTGCAGGCAGCCTATGGCAAAAACCATTAAAAAAAAGGGGGGGGGCAGGTTATTTGCCTGCATTTCATGCTGATGTTAGAGAATTCTAATTTCAACTAACTGCTCATGAGTTAGAAGAGCTCATTTCGCTAACAGCAGGGATGGTTTGAGTGGATTTACTGCTCTCCAAGTGACTCAGCTCCGGGAGTCAGAGAGCAGTTTGTGGTATGAGTGATCTATTTTGGGTTCCTCTTAATATTTTAAGAAGGAGTGTTTAATAAATACTGGAAAATTCCAAAGTTCACAGTGCTGAGTGATTCCTTTCTAGATTCCTTACATTCTCTTATGTCAATATATTTCTGCTTGTCTTTTTTTTCAATGGTTGCATAATTGTCATCTTACATATCCCTAAATTTTGCGCTCACAGAGATGAAACAGCAGGTGAACGGAACCAGTACCCCCCCCCCCCCCCCCCCATCACGTAGCTGGGAATGCCTGGTCTGCTCATAGACACGTCCTTTCTGATAGAGTCGGAGCAGCTGTCCTTACCTAAGAAGCTCAAACCCTTTCCAAAGCTTCATTCTTCTGTTTCTCAATGTAAACATCATGGAGGAAATGATAAATCTTGATTACTTCTTATGTCATCAAGTAGAATGTTCTCTTTGATATATTTGATGGTTTGGTTTATTATTATGTAAAGGTTTCTATATAGAGCATTTTAAAAACCAGGTATACAACTGTATCTTTTGACTCGGATGCTGTGTTATGTACAAGCACTTGGTTAGGTCAGATCTAAGTCCATGTGGTTGAATACCAGCAGCAGGTCACTGTTACGCATCCTGGTATCCTGGTGTCAGGTCAGACAAGTTCTCTGTGAGCCTCCCAGCTGTCTCCGTCCGCCTCAAGCAGTCCTTCCTGGCCTTTCCATTGCAATACTGCGTCATGGTAACTGTAAATGAGGATGTCGGCCATGTTTTGTGCAGTACTACATTTCGCTCTGTATCAGTACCAAGCCTTAGCGTATTTTAAGCCTGCGTTGGGAACCCAACATTATTTTTTCCTTTTCATTTTTTTGAGAGAGATTTTTTTTTTTTTTTGCTGTAGGGTGTGGGTGCCCACCAGAGAGACAGACAGAAAGTGAGAAATCACTCCCCAAGGGAGATAGACACACGCAGTCCTTTCTCCTCCATTCTCTTGTTGAGATTTTGGGCACACACGCTTGCACAGGTGTGTGTATTAAGTTGCTAGGTCTGGGACTTGAACCATGGTTGACTACATGGGAGTCCAGCAATGTAACCATTATGCCATCTGCTGGTCTCAACCACGTTATTTTTAAAGGCATGCAGATAGAGAATGCAAACCTTTGTGAATGAAAATAGTAAGGGCGTTTGGTGCTCGGGGGTTGTTCTGATATGTGTTTCACTGCCAGGTGATTGGTGGAAACACCATAGCAGTTGTATCATTCAAATAGTCAGAGACCAAGAAAGTGAGAAGTCACCCTCCCTAGGAAGGAAAGGCCACACCGCAATCCCTTCTCCTCATCTCTCCTTTCCGGATTTTGGGCATGGCACGCACACGTCCCTGGTATGATTCTTAAACCACTGGGTTTGGGACTCAAACTGCAAAGCTAGCCATGTGGGATCCAGAGCCTTAACCTCGACAGCATGCGATGGTCTGAAAGTGAGAAGAATTTCACGAATGAGTTGGCCTTAAGAGTAAGGTTGAGAAGGTTGTAAGGGATAGGAGGAGCATATTCTCTAGAATGAAATCACTCAACTGGCTCTGACTCTTGGTATTTGCTTTCTGCAGATTTTTTCAGGTCTGTTGGTCAATCTCAAAACCATTGCGGCTTGGCTCTCGTGGCTGCAGTACTTCAGCATTCCTCGATATGGCTACACGGTGCGTTTTTCCTTCTGTCACTGTGAGTGAGTTCTTGAGCTAGGAACAGCCGGAATAAAGCCTTACCACCTCATTCCCGGGCCATGAACTGTGCGAGTCTTAAGCGCAATGAATGAGAATCACCTATTAGTCCTGTAACCAAGGCCAAAAGCCATGTGGGGTTTATTGGTCACCCTGTTGTTTGAGGGAGGCAGAGAAGTGGAGAACTCACAGTCAGAGAGAAAGATTGACTCATTGATTAAAAAGTGTCCATGTTGGATTTCAGTTCAGTAAAGAAAGATGGGAACAGGAGACTTGAATACCAAGTTTAAAAGTAAAAAGGAAATTAGATGAAAAACAAAGACCATGTACTACTCATAGCTGTGTTGACTCTAGTAAGCTTAATAAATCCAAAGAAAACTGTGTCTTAGTATATACCGTAACCCAGTTCCTAAGTATGATGGGCTCTAATGGAAAAACAAACAAGAATAAAAGGTCATTACTCTAAATTAACAATACTCATTGAGCACCATTGGATCATCTTCATTAACATGTTCATATTACAAAATTGGGGAGAGAAGATGGACGGAGACCTGGACTGACATAGCCAGAGGTCTCTCTTCTTCCCTAAATTCTTTGCTTTTTTTGTACTGGAAGCCAGAATCCCAGCCCTCGGTGTCTTGATTACCAGGGTAAATAACTCTAGTTACTTTGGTGTGACAAAGAATATGAGTGTGAGACTTGGTATGTTTTTAGACCTAAGAACAAAGAGGAAAGTTGGAGGACATGACATGATTGTGATCACTGTGTGGAAAAAGTTTGAAACTGGAAACTATTTTTCTTGCCCTCCCTCTGCACCCCACCCCCTTGTGTTATAGGCTTTGCAGCATAATGAGTTTTTGGGACAGGACTTCTGCCCGGGATTGAATGTAACAGCAAACAGTACCTGCAGTGACTTTGTAATGTGAGTTCTCGTTCCAGTCTCGTTCTCGGTGTGGTCTCCACCGCGGGGTGATATGCAAAGGCTGCTGGCACCCCAAATCTCTCGTGCACACTCCAATAGAATAGAAATGACTTACTAATGGGACAGATTGCTATTCTTGACTTGTAGACCAGAAACAGCCCTATGAAGGGATGCTCTCTGTATTCACTCCCCTTGGGTGTGATGTGTAACACAGTCACTGCCAGCTGTCTGGTCAGGATGAGGCCGGTGTTAGAAGTGGAATCAGGTAAGGAGAAGCAGCCATCCCCTTCATGGTCACAGAAGATAAGGTTTCATCTTCCCATGATGAAGGAGGAAGCTACTCTTATAGTAAAGAGGCTAGCTGTTTGGGAAGTGCATAGTTCCAAGAGTTGCAGAAAAATGGTACCGGGAAATTGTGTCTCTACCCGGTGTTATCAGCGCCAGGTGCTTTTCTTCCCTGTGCAGGCTCACTCCTGCTAGTTGAGGCAGAAATCTGGTTAGTGGGCACGCTGGTGGAAATGCAGCTGTGATGCTCATGTGAGCGAGGTTTGAGAGCAGACAACCACAATTGGCAGGAAGCCCTGTCTCCCCCTTTTTCTAGTTGTCGAAGTCGCAGACCGTGTGCGTCCATCGTATGGCCGTTTTGTGGGCCAGCAGTACTAGAAGGCACTTTGATTATCTTTGTGCTGGCCATAGGTGTCATGTTATGAAGCTGCAGTTTTCCCATCGGGACTAAGTGAAAACTTAACTTGATACATGGTCAGCACTTTGAGAACGGCACTATAGATTTAGAAACAGATGAGTTTCAGGAGATTAAAAACTTGGTTAAAAGTGTGACCCTGTAATCTTGGTCACCTTCCTTAAACTCTCGTCCCTTTTAACTTTTTTTTTTGGTCATAAGGTGTGTGCACTCACTGGAGATAGACCCAGAGAGATAGGGGGAATGTGGGAACACCAAAGGGAGATGACCACACAGCAATCCCTTCCCCTCCAGTCTCTTCCTCAGACTTCAGGCACGCCTGCACACGCACCTGGTGTATTTTTCGAGCTGCCTTGTTTGGGACTCAAACCGTGTAGTCAGCCATGTGAACGCCAGCCACATTAACCCTTCTTGCCACCTGCTGGCACTTTTATTTTCTTATTCAATAAAAAAAAAAACAAAAAAGAAAAAAATTGCCATTGCGTGCATGGGCTGGCTGGAGAGAGAGGGAAAGGGGGCAAACACCCCCATGAGGTATGGTCATGCCACAATTCCTTCTTTTCCTATTCTCCCTTCTTTTTTTTTTTTTTTTGAGAGGTTTTTTTTTTTTTTTTTTTTTTTTTTTCACTATAGGGCGCGTGCGCTCGCCAGACAGACAGAGAGAGACATAGAGACAGAAAGCGAGAAATCACCCCCCCCAGGGGGGATGGTCACGCCGCAATCCCTTCTCCTCCATTCTCCTCCAGGGATCTTGGGCACGCACACACACGCGCCCGGCATGAGTTTTAAGCCACCGGGTCCGGGACGCGAACCACTGTCAACTACGTGGGAGTCCAGCGACATAGCCATTACTCTAACTGCTGGTTCCCAATTCTCCCTTCTTTTGAGAATTTTGGGCATGCACATATATGCACTTGCCATGTTTTTCAAGCCACCGAGTCTGAGACTTGAACTGTGGGGTTGGCGATGTGAGATCTGGCTCCCTTAAGCACCAGGCCATAGGCTGGCCCCTCACATTTTTGAAATGTGCATAGTGTCTACCCAACGGACCATGTAGGGATTGACTGAACTATTAAGTGGGCATTCCTCCGCATGTTGTCTAGCAAAATTGTAAGTACTCAGCGATAGCTGCTAGCTACTGTGATGGAAGGGATGAAAGACTTGGCGAGCCTCTATGTGCTTCTTTAAGGGGCAGTGATGACATTGCGTAAAACATGACAGAGGCTAGAAATGCAGTTAACCTTGTGTTTCTGTTGCATTCCAGATGTTCTGGCGAAGACTATCTAACGAGCCAAGGCATCGACGTCTCCCCTTGGGGCTTGTGGAGGAATCATGTGGCCTTGGCTTGTATGATTGTTATCTTCCTCACGATTGCCTACCTGAAATTGCTGTTTCTGAAAAAATACTCTTAAGTTCCCCCTTTAAGTTTCTGCCATTTATCCTCACATCGGACAGGAGTACCTTGATTCATTTCAAGTATTCAATGAAGCTTTTTGTTGCCTTCATCCTGTGGCTCAGGAATGATGATTTTCAACAGACATTCCTTGAAATCACAGTGAACTGAATTACGAGTGAAAGAACTCAGTTCAAAACTGATGATGTTATGGACACACACATACTAGTTCATCTCGCCAGACGGTATCCATGGGGACGAAATCTAGTCTAATGGATTGGCCTAAGAAAGATGAATTCTAGAAATTCTCAACAGGTTATTATTATCTCTAATACCTATTTTCTCATCTTTAAAATGAAAAGGTAGGTTTGTAGCCCTCCTTTGAAAACATTTTATGAGTCTGTGATCTGCCATTATTTAATAAAATGTGTAATAATGCTGTATTGCAAATACATGATATGTTGGGAAAACATGGTATAAAAAAGCTATTATGATAGAAGAACATAGCTCTGATAAGCTTATGTAAGATATTAGAACTTACTGGTATTTCTCTCTCATGGTATTATCATTTCTCAGGGATCTTGACCAGAGAGCCCTTGGACTTTAGGGTGGAGTTGAAGGCCGGGATCTGTTGATATGACTCCTTTGGGGGGACTTTCTAGCTCTGGAGTTACTTCGTCTTTGGGAGTTCATACTTCTGGGTGTGTGTCAGAATCCGCTGAGGGCCTTAGCTAAAATACCTATCTGGGCTTTGCCTGATACGTCACATCGGTCTCTCCAGGGCTACCTCCATAAGGAACTCAAACCACTCCTGTATTTGTTAGTGTCCAAAGATCCTTTCAGACTTTGAGAACTGTGCACATAAGGGTTTCTTAATTGTTAGATATTTGTACCTACACAGTAATTTTTTTTCTTTCTTGAAGGTGTGTGTGCAGTCACCATAGAGAGAGAGGAGAAAACACCCCCTGGGGAATGATCATGCTGCAATCCTTCCCTTCTGTTTCTCCTTTCCAGGATTTTGGGCACACATGCACGTGCACCCGGCATTCAGTACACTGGGCCTGGGATGCAACCTGTGTGGTTGGTCACGTGCGCTCCAGCCCGTTTAACCACCACCCCACGGAGCTGTTTTCTCTTTCTTCTTTAATTACACCTAATTTATTTCCCTATCTTTTATCATTCTAACCTTTTGTAATAGCAGAGAAGTATCTGAAACTACTTTTTTTATTGAAGGGGAGTGTACTTTGGTCCATAAAATGAATGTGGATAATGTGGATGGGCAACCACCCATCCAGGCTAAGAAACAAACTATTACCAGTATATGCCAGGGCTCATCTGTCCCCTCCCCCAGACCTTAAAACCACTGCAGGTCAGGTGGTCTTGGTCACCCAGTGTCACTAATGCAGTTACAGCCCACAGTGAGTCATCTGTCCACATCTGGGTAACTGCTTCCTCCCGCCTCCCTCGGTCGTTTTCAAAATGACCCTGTGTCTTCCTCTTGGCTGCTGTTATCAAAACATCCCTGTGCTTGATTTTGTGCTCCTGTGTGCCACCACACTTTTCAATACACTTTTAACCTTAAAATAAGTTTAGGGGTTGAAAGGTGGTGTGGAGGTGTAAGCGGCTGGCTCCCACATGACCGAATGAGTGAGTAATACAAGACCCAGCCCTGAAGGCTTGAAAATCACTCTGGGTGCAGGTGTGTGTGTGTGTGTGCACAAAGTCCCAAGGGAAGGGACTGTGGCTTGGCCATCTCCCCTGGGGGGTGATTTTTTTTACTTTCTTTTTTTTCGGCAAGCATGTGTGCTCTCTAGCAAACTACTGAAGGAAAAGAGAAAGTTTAAAAATTAAATTTATAGGCAAATTGCATAGATAACATGGACAGTTGTATATTCTCTCTGCCGGCTCCCATATTGCTAACACTTAGAGACCCGGGCACCTTTGTCAAAGCTAAGAAATGAACCTTGGTTCCTCACTGTTACACCATGCAGAGCTTCCTCTTCTCCATTCACGGTCTTTCTTCGTTCCAGGATCCAATCCAGGAGACGCACTGTTTCTAGTTCTCCCTTTATAAAGTAAAGACTTCCTACTCTTTCTGTAGGAATAAGTGAGGTGGAGGACCACCAGAGTATGACTGGCCATCTTGGTATGTCCTTTAGCTCATCAGTGGATGCCTTATTGCAACATCAGTTTGTGGACATAGCAATATATTTCATTTTTGAACTTTGAAGAACTTTTTTTTGAGAGATTTTTACTATAGGGCATGTGTGCTCCCTAGAGAGACAGAGACAGGAAGCAAGAAGTCACTCCCCCAGGGGGGATGGCCAAACCTCAATCCCTTCTCCTCCATTCTCTTCTTAGGATCTTGGGTGCACATGCACATGCACACTGTGTAAGTTTTAAGTCACTGGGTCTGGGACTCTAACCGTGGTTGATTATGTGGAAGTTTAGTGACTTAACCATTGTGCCATCTGCTGTTCCCAGGAGTATTTTTTTAAATTGATGTTTGGTTACTGTATCATTTTCTTTTCTTTTTCTTCTTCTTCTTCTTTTTTTTTTTTTTTTTTGCTTTAGGGCACATGCACTTGGTAGAGAGACAGAGACAATGAGAGGAAAATGTGAAATCATCCCCTGAGTGGCGGCCATAAGGCAATCCCTTCTTCATTCTCCTCCCAGATCTTGGGCATGCACCCACATGTGCCTGGCATGATTTTCAAGCCACTGGGTCTGGGACTTGAATTGCAGCTGACCACGTGGGAGTCCAGTGACGTAACAGCTACGCCATCTGCTGGCTCTGCATAATTTTCTTAAAAAACTTTTTTTTACATACAGTGTTTATAATATTGCAGCATTTAAAGAAATAATTGCCCAGGGGGTGCGTGTGCTCATTGGAGACAGAGAAGGAGGGAGAAAGCACTCCCACTGGGGCATGGTCAAGCTGCAATCCCTTCATTTCTCTACCCTGTCAGGATTTTGGAGACACATGCACCCAGCATGTTTTACAAGCTGCTTGGGTCAGGATTTGAACTACACTATCAGCTATGTAGGATTTGGCTCTCTTAACCACTAGGCCACAGGGCCATCTTATTTTTCATTATCTGTGCCTTCCTCAATGTTTCCTGTGTATCCGTCCCTTATTACACAGATGCACACACCTGTATGCACATGCACACACGCTTTATACATAAGATATTTAACAAAGCAAAACACAATTATTGATACTTTTAAATAAGAATTTAAATATATCTTATTTATCCTTTTGTATTATAATTGCTTCTTAATATGCTCTTTAAAATTCTGATAGAAAACATAACAAAGCTTACTCTCTAAAGTAGGGAACAATGAAAGTGTTTATTTTCCTATAATATAGAAAAGGAAATGTTGGGACCAGCAGTTAGCGTAATGGCTGTGTCGCTGGACTCCCACGTAATCAACCGCGGTTCGAGTCCCGGACCCGGTGGCTTAAACTCACGCTGGGTGCGTGTGCGTGCGTGCCCAAGATCCCGAGAGGAGAATGGAGGAGAAGGGATTGTGGCGTGGCCACCCCCCTGGGGGGTGATTTCCTGCTTTCTGTCTCTCTGTCTCTGTCTGGCGAGCTCACGCGCCCTATAGCAAAAACCTCCCCCCCCCAAAAAAAAAAGAAAGAAAGAAAAGGAAATGTTTATAGGTTACTTACCATGTATATATTTTTTAGTCAATAAAACATAGATCATGTTTTTATTTTATTGGATGCTCGAACTCATCTATAATGGAGGGGTCAGATTAATTTCATTGAGAATAAAAGGAAACTCAGGAATAAGTGACTATCGGTTGCTGGTGACGCTCCTTCAGTTACTCTTAGGCTCAGACTGTTAGGAAGGCAGGGGGGGGGGGGGGGGGCAAGGCAGTAAAAAAGGAAAGGAAGAGTTGGGAAAGAGGAAGTGCACATGCATATTTGTTTCCCTGCTCTTGACGCCTTCCTCCATGGTCTTTAGATTTAAACTTCAGTGGCATCAGTGCCACTGACATATTTTTGATAAATAGCATCACTCCTTTGTGAGACAGCTTTCAACTGTCCCTGTGCATGCTCAGGGCCCCTAATGCACAGACTGTCGCGTAGCAGGGTAGCAGGGATGACGGCTATTCCCCGGTCTGGCATCCCGGCCCTGAGCAGGGCTGACCTGTTGACCTCCACTGCTGATCCCTGTGAGGAGATCAGACCAGTCAAGCCACTCAGTGAGAAGGTGGTGACACCTAATGACTTCAGGTCTGTAGGGATCTTACCCTTGGGCTATGGGTCCAAGGAGGCATTAACTTGACCCAGTGCTGTACATTTTATTTTATGTTTTTTGTTTTGTTTTTTAGGCAGAGCCATGTAGGGTTTTATGATGCTTCTTGCTATACTGTGTGTAAGGATTTTTTCTTTTGGGGGGGCAGTAGGATTGTAGAAGGTCATTGACTGAGAGCACCTCCAAGTCCTTGCAGTGTTTAAAAACTTTGGCTTCCATGTTTTAAAAAAAAGGGCAAAAAAACTGTATTTCATATTACATCTCATTTCTTGGTGTAGAGACACAATCCAGACATGTTTTCCATGGTGTATTCTGAATGATATTTTTTTGAAATTAGAACTTTTATAGGTCTGTCAATACGATAAAGCAAATATGGAATCAATAAATATTTTCCAAAATTTGTACAATCATATCTGCCTCTTTATTTTTAGTGTCTTGGTTTGATGGGTTATATGATTCTATGGGTAATATTGTGTGTACCTCATGTGGAAATCATGAGGACTGAGGAAAATTTTTTTTTTTAAAGAGGTTTTTACCTTAGGGCGTGTATCAGAGAGAGAGAGAGACAGTGAGAGAGAGTGAGAGGGAAAATGAGAAATCACCCACCCCAGGGGGGATGGTCATACTGCAATCCTTTCTCCCACCATCTTGGGCAGGCATGCACACATGCCTGGTGTGATTTTTAAAGCCATGGTCTGGGATTTGAGCCATGGTCAGCCATGTGGGAGTCTAGTTATGTAACTACTACACCATATGCTGGCTCCCTGAGCAACTTCTTAAAGTGTACTTATTTGGGCCAGAAGGGGCATGCAGGTTAAGGTGCTGGATCCCACTTTTGCAGAAAACCAGATGCTGAGGAATGGAAGGCAGCACTTGGAGAGATTAGGAGAACTGTTTATTATGCGGGCCGGTACAGAGGAGTTAACAGTCTGAATCTCTGGCCCGGACTGGGGGTTGAATACAGTCTTTTATGAGGGAATTAGGGAAGGGGAGGTCTTGGGATGGAGAATGGGCTCAGAGCCCGCCCTATGCAGTTTCAAAGGGAGGAGTCAGAGAAGCAGGAAGTCTAATCTATTCAAGGCATTAATCTCTTCAAGGTTTCTGGTTATCCTGTAGCTCCTAGGAGGGGCAGAAGGTTTGCTGGAGGGCAGAAATTTTAGGCAGCTATCAGCCTTGAGTTATTCATGAATTCAGGTTTCTTCCATATCACCACAAGGTCAGCTATGCAGTTCAGGTCCTAGACCTGGTGTCTTGAGAACTATGCAGGTATGTGGGTGCCCAAAGTTCTGAGGAGAATGGAGGAAAAGGGATCGCTGCATGGCCATCCTCGGGGGGATGATTTCTCATTTTCCCTTTCTGTCTTTGGTGAGCGCACATATCCTGGGCAATTAAAAAAAAGAAAAAAACATTAAAATAATTTTACGTTGTAACAGCCATAACCAATCAGAAAATATGATGCAAGATTCTGTTCATAGTAGTAATAGGACCATAAAATAGGAGTAAAACTATAGTAGCAATAAAACATTTAAAAATAAGAAAA